GCCTGAATGGCTCAGTCATTTAAGTGTCTGACTTCTGCTCAGATCGTGATCTAACGGTTCATGGTTCGAGCCCCACTTTGGGCTCTGTGCTGACAGGTCAGAGCGTAGAGCCTGCTTCAGATTGTATGTCTCCCTCTCTCTCTGCCCCTCTCCTGCTCCTGCTCTGTCTCTCTCTGTCTCTCAAAAATTAATACATATTATTTTTAAAAAGGGGGGTGGTTTATACAAATCAGGATCCAAGCACATTACAGTTGGTTTGTTATATTTTAGGGAATAGACAGCATAATTAACTCTTAACCTGTTATCTCAAATATCACATTTAATAGAAACTAGGTTATTTGACCACTTAACTTCCATTTTCTTCCTCTCTCCTTCGGCCGTATCTTAATGTTGAGATTTTGAACCTTCTGAACTTGAGAGCCCTGATCTGGTATTTCTGATTTTTTACTTTGTTTTACTGGAGTGTAGGAGACTCTGGTTTTTGTGGCAATCGTCTCTAAGTGCCTCCAGTAAGATGCAGGCCTTTGTTTCCATCTCCACACTGCAGCTCCCCAGTTAAAGATCTCTGATGACCGGCTGACTGTGGTTGGAGAGAAGGGCTACTCCATGGTCCGGGCTTCTCATGGGGTACGGAAGGGTGCCTGGTACTTTGAAATCACAGTGGATGAGATGCCGCCTGACACTGCTGCCAGACTGGGTTGGTCCCAGCCCTTAGGTGAGTGGGAGCGATCATGAGGACATCACCGCAGGCAGAAAGGTACAGACCATGTGGTTGTGCTTCATGACTTTTTGGCTTATTGGATTATGGGCATAAAATTCACTTCCTAAAGGATAAGGTGGTTTGCATTTCCTAGAAATATTTTTATAACTCTTTACTTGTGAGAAATAGTTTGTCAGGAATTTTGCAAAACCGACCAAAAAATACAGTGAAAAGGAGTAGAAATTTTTCTTTTAGCAAACCAGAGTCAATTTGCAATCTTGTGACTTCCTGTACATCTCTTTATTGGGACAGGTAACCTCCAAGCTCCCTTAGGTTATGATAAATTTAGCTATTCGTGGAGGAGCAAAAAGGGAACCAAGTTCCACCAGTCAATTGGCAAACACTACTCTTCTGGCTATGGACAGGGAGACGTCCTGGGATTCTATATCAATCTTCCTGAAGATACAGAGACAGCCAAGTCACTGCCCGATACTTATAAAGATAAGGTGAGTTTGTATCCCTGAGAGATTCCTGGGTTTGAAGACCTGTGGCAACCAACATATTCCTGCACCTGTGGCCTGAGTGTTCTCTTGTAATGCTGACCTAGCATTCACACTTTCTTCCAAGATTTCATTTTGAAAGTTTTTAGACGTAACAAAGTTGAAAGAATTTTAAAGTCTGTGTCCAAATACCAATCACCTAGATTCTACCTTAACCTATTATCTGTTCATTTTTCCATCCATCCATCCATCCATCCATCCATCCATCCATCCATCCATCTTGTTTTAATGCACTTCAGAAAATATTACAGCCATCAACATACCTCACCAGCGGGGGGGAGGGGGGAGGGGGCGCCTGGGTGGCTCAGTCAGTTAAACATCCAGTTCTTGATTTCAGCTCAGGTCATGATCTCACAGTTTGTGGGCTCTATGCTGAGTGTGGAGCCTGCTTGGGATTCTCTCTCTCTGCCCCTCCCCCACTCACACATGCTTGTGTGTGTGCGTGCACGCTCTCTCTCAAAATAAATGAACTTTAAAAATATGTATACATCACCTGCGCCCAAGTACTTCAAGATACATATCATTAGCTAGAGTTCAACCTTTATTTATTTATTTATTTATTTATTTATTTATTTATTTTGATACAAAATTTACATAAAATGAAATGTATAAGTTTTAAATGTATATTCACTGAGTTTTGAGTTTGGCCCAAACCCCTAAGGAGACACTAGAATCTTATCACCCCAAGAAGTGCCCTCATGCTCTTTCCCAATCAGTCCCAACTGCCATCCCTACAGAGCCAACCATTCTTGAAATTTTTTTCCCTATCATAATTCTATTCCATTAGTTCTGTTTGTTCTTAAACTTATTTTATAAATGGAACCATGCAGTACATAATCTTTTGGGTTTTGGGATTTTTTGTGATTGTTGTTTTAAATGTTTATTTTGTGAGAGAGAGCATGTGAGAAGGGGCATTATCTATTTTCCCATTTTTTCTAGGTTTATTGATTATAGTTGACATATAATTATCCATTTTCCTATTTTTAGAAAATTCTTAAATTCCATTATAATTAACATACAGTGTTACATTTGTTTTAAGTGTGTAATATAGTAATTAAAAAATTCCATACAGGGGAGCCTGGGTGGCTCAGTCAGTTAAGTGTCTGACTTCGGCTCAGGTCATGATCTCGTGGCTCATGGGTTTGAGCCCCACGTCGGGCTCTGCGCTGACCGTGCGGAGCCTACCTGGGATTCTCTCTTTCTCCTTCTCTCTCTGCCCCTCCCTAGTTTGCCCACACTTTTT